GGCGCAACGTCTTCCGCACCCGCGCCGCCGCCGCCGCCACCGCCGCCGCCGCCGTCGCCGCCGCCGCCGCCGCGGGCACCACCGTCGCCTTCGCGGACAAGGGCGAACGCAGCTACATCATGCTCAAGCCCGACGCCGTGCAGCGCGGGCTCGTCGGCGAGATCATCCAGCGCTTCGAGAAGCGCGGCTTCAAGCTCGTCGCGCTCAAGCTCGTCACGCCCTCCCTGGAGCACGCCCAGAAGCACTACTACGACCTCGCAGAGAGGCCCTTCTTCCCCACCCTCTGCAGCTTCCTCAGCAGCGGCCCCGTCTGCGCCATGGTCTTCGAGGGCGAGGACGTCATCAGACAGGGGTCCGTTGCCTCACCACCCTTGCTCGCCCCCATCACGCTTGTTGCAGTTCAGAGACGAACACCGCCTTTACTGACTCCTGTCCTCTCGTTTTTTCTTGCGTCTTCATTTGCACTCACGCGTTGCGTAGGCGCAAAATGATCGGCGCTACGAGCCCACTCGCGTCGGAGCCCGGCACTATCCGCGGCGACCTTGCCATCATCACCGGCAAAAACATCATGTCCGTTTTACAAAATCCTCTCCCGCCTTCTATTTACAAACATCCCCCCTATATACAACTCGCACTTCTGACAAAACCTATTCTCCTCGTCTTTGCCAACCTTGCTATCGTCTACTACCATAGCCACGGCTCGGATTCCAAGGAGTCTGCCGAGGCCGAGATCGCCCTTTGGTTTTCAAAGGCCGAGCTCAACGAGTGGAGCAAGACCGACCTCGAAGCCTGGGTCTACGAATGATCCAAATGCCACTGTTAATGTTAGGGACTTCTTTTTTGCCACCTTCATGTTTTTCCCACCTGCATCATGAAAACACCGCCCCTTTCGTCCTTTCACTAATTCCAAAAGAAAGAAAAAGCACATTCCTTGTGCCTACCACCCGTCAGAACACCAGCACGCTATCCGACACCGCAAATTTCACTCGCGACGGGCTATGCTTCTTCACCCCCGGCCCCCCCGCCGGCCTCCTCTCAAACTGAAACTGGCTGATCCGTCGCCGATGCACGTATCGCACGCACAGACTGTCCATGTTCTTCGCAATCCCCTTTTTGAACCACCGCCGCACCATCTGCCGCGCCATCTCCGCACTGGGGAGCCATCTGCACAAGCAGATCACAATGTTCGCCGTCCGGTTCGACATCTCCGCCGCCCTGCCCATGCGAACCGGCACCAGCATATTCTGCACGAGCCGTTCCTGCACCCCGCTCGGCATCAGCTTCCCCGACTTCTTCTCTAGCGTCCGCGACAGCGTGTACGAGTCGTCCAGCGTGAGGAGCGCGAAGCGCGCAAAGCAGTCCCACATGTCCTCAACCTCCACCAGGGAGCTCTGCGAGCACGTGTCGGCCAGCGCACCCACCTTGCGGTTCATTGCCTTGATGGGCAGCTCGGACGTGATCGTCAGCCGCTCCATCGTCCGGTCCAGCTCGCGCCGCAAGTCGCGCCGCTGCACCGCCGTCAGCCGCCCAAGCTGCTCCGCGGAGTCGCCGCGCTGCAGCCGCAGCGTCTCGCCCACCGTGCCCAGCACCGCGAAGAGAAACTCGCCAAACCCGCCCCACCACCGCTGAAGGTCGTGGCACTCCGTGCGGGAGAGCTGCGAAGCACTGCTTTCCATGAGGCTGGGGAGGATGTACACGTACATGTCGGCTACTTCCCGACGCACCGCGTTGGCAAGTATGCCGACCAGGTTGGAGTAGGAGTTTTCCACTTCCAGGGTGAAGGGAGACATCGTCATGAAGGGGTTGTTGGAAGTTAGTATGTCGTCGCAAGGAAGGCACGGCCTTTGGGTGGATGGTGTGGTGTTGCACCACACGTTCATGTAGTCTTCCATATAGCCTTTGGACTTTTTCAGGCCGCGTGCTTTCGTTCCTAGGCTCTTTGCAAACGAAAAACTCTCGAAGAAGGATGAGCTTCGCGAAGAAGCAAAGCTCGATTCAGAGGTCATCGAACAGGTATCTTTCACACTGAAGAACGGAATGTGACGTTTTTGCGGCTTGGCCAGAGACATTTTGGTGGAGTGGGGAAGTAAAGAAAGGCGCCAAGGGTTGTTGGTGAGATAAACTGTGAGGTCGCTGGGTTGAGATATTATACTTGCTCTGGTCGACCATCTGACCTCTTATAAAGATTCTTTATTGCCGAAAGGGGCAGCCACACACACAAAAAAGAAAAATGATGCCCGTGCTCGGTATGGATTTCTATGTAAGACCATTTTTTTCTGGGCTAGCACTCAAAACATGAAAGTGACAGCGACAAATGCTTGTATGATCCCAAAACGAAGCTTGCTCATGCATTCGGAATGATGCAAAAAAAGCTACGAAAGTTTCCAAAAGGAGATACGCAGATTTGTGAAAGCCTATAAAGAGGTGTCTGTAGATATCGGTATCTTACCGAATTCTAAAGCACGGTTGCTGGCAACTGTGACACTAGGTGGCACCACCTAGTTGTGGCACGCACGTCCTTCGCCCGTGGCGACTGTGCCATCATACTGTACTGTATAATCACTTCCCTTGCGAAATATCCAAGTCGTCACTCTCAATATGCATACGTTTACAAAAAATACTTTCACTACTACGGAAACATTTCTATCCGCGTCTCAGCTTTCTTTGAAAGTCGAATCGCCTCTCCCGCTACCCTTACCTCCTCACATCGACCGCGCTCAAGCTCGGCATACGAAAGAACCGCTCGCGCTGCAATTACGAGCGCAGACGTGTCCTGACATAGCGCCCATGATACAAGGTATGCAATCTTTCTCACGCGGGCCCTGAGAGGTTTTTTCCCCATTGCAGGCGCTTCGGCGAGAGCGGCTTCGAAAATACCTTGGCATTCGTACAACGCCCTGGCCACCCATTCACTGCGCCCCGAAATCACGGCGCTTACATCGTTGAATGCTTCCAAGGCTGCTGCTTGCGATTTGCCCACTTGTACCAGCTTACCCATGCTCGAGGTGCATGCCTCCTCCATTGATGCGTATCGACGATCATCGCTGAGAACGGACGAAAATTCCCATATCTTTCGAGCGACGTGTGAAGGGTCAGAGTGCCAGTCCCCATTGCAAAGACGGAGACTCATGCAGTAGGCGCCGAGGACTTCGGAGACGTTGTTCACGATAGTGGGAGATGCTCTTCGCGAAACACTGATTGGCACTATTAAACTATCTGGTGAAGGCAGTGGAGGCAGTTCCGCCACGCTGCCGTCACTTCCGTCGTTTTCGACTACGTCGTCAACAGGGAGAAAAATCCACCACGGACGCCACAGCTGCAACATGCGAGACGCACGTCCATCGAGTAGCCTTGCTTCGAAGTCGCGTGCCATTTCTTCTGGCAGTCTCCTCAGGATTTCGTCATAGGAAAGGTCTTGTGCTTCCATGTCATGGGTGAGCTCTTCCAGTTTCTCTGTAACGCCATCCGCAGATTCGGGTGCGTTTGCAGGCAGGTCATGCTGTGCCTTTTTTCTACCTGCCGGGGACGACGGCGCCTCCTTTCCGACATCTGGAATAAGGCTGGCAGCGCCTTCTCCTCGTGCGAGTAGGTTTTGCTCTTCGAGACGCTCTCGCACTCCTTTGTCAATCATTGACACGAATTCCTTCCCTTGGTCATCAAGAGAATTGATGAACTGCTCCAAAAGCTCGGGTACATCTCCTTCGTGAGGCGTTTCCTCCTCCTGTATCTCACTGCAGTCCATAACGTCCTCTTCGCTGTCTTCCAGGACGGGATCTTCATACGTCCCGCCATAAAACCCAGCTTCCCGAACCCGCTCAACAATAGCATTAAAACGGCGTCGCTCCCAATCTGAGACTTTTACATTCTTCAATCGAACGTCCACATCATTTTTAAACGCGTCGACACAGGACTTTGAATGAGCGCCGTAGCAAGAGGCTGTGCAGTAAGGAACATGACAGCGAGGGCATTCGTAGCGCGAGATTGCATCACAGCCCGACACGCCGCAAGGTTGTGCGTTTGCACTCCCGGTCAACTCAAGGATAGCCATAAGGCCCTGCCCCTCGCCGGACGTCGTCTTCCCTTGCGTGCGCAAAGAGAGGCAAATGTTGTCGACGTCAAGAGGGCGCGAGGTGCTGCGAAGTAGACATGTCGGCTAGTACAGTGTGTCGGACGTGTACACTTGTACAGTACAGTACTTTGTGCTGTACAGCGATCATAACAATTGTTGGGTGCTCTGTGCAAAAACATTCGAAAACTGAGGCGATGTTTTGCTTTTTTGATCCACGAGTTTTTTGCAGCCTCAGGACAGAGCAATGAGTGTGTGTCGGCGGCGAGGGGCAAAGCTCTCAGCATCGCCGCAGCAACTCCAACCTGCCCGCCGTAAAGTTATAGCTTTTCATCTGACATCCCCGCTATCGCTTAACCTGCGAATGTGACACCACTGACCGCCACCTGTTGCAACCATGGCATGACGGATATCCCACATTAGGAGAGGCATAAAATCCTGCTGATGTGCACGCGTCTCCACGTGTGCACAAGCGCGCACGATCATGTTTGCGACAGCAAGAAGCCTCTGGCGGCTTAATCAAGCGGCCCGGTCGTTTCCCTCCCGCAGAATTGGACCCATCCTGTGCCCCCCCCTTGTCGTTAGCGCCCCAATTCGCAACCACGCTCTCGGCATCAAATATGACCGCCGCGCATGGTCATCAGGCCGGCGCGACGACGACGAGCGCTGCTCCGCGCCAAAGGCCCCCACCGCAGCGGCTATCACACGCCCCCGAACGCGCCAGGAACCAAGCCCGTGGAATCTTCCCAACGCCGTGACCGTCGGCCGCCTCGTCGCGGCGCCTTTGACCGGCTACTGCATCGTCACCGGTCACTTCGATCTAGCCCTCGGCGGTCTCGTCTACGCCGGCGCCTCGGACTGGCTCGACGGCTTCCTCGCTCGCAGGCTAAACCTCCAAACCGTCGTCGGCTCCTACTTGGACCCTGCAGCCGACAAGCTGCTCGTCTCGACGACGACAGTGTCGCTCGCGTACCAGCACGTCATTCCCCCCTGGCTCGCGCTGGTCATAATTGGCCGGGACGTGGCGCTCGTCGCTGGTTACGCCGCCCTGCTGCGGAACAGCGCGGGCAGCTTTGCACCTGCCGAAGTGCTGCGACAGGGTGCGCGGAACCACGTGCGCCCGCACTTTGTCTCCAAGGTGAACACGGCGATGCAAATCGGCCTGTGCTTTGCGGGCGTGGCGAGCGCGGGAGATTTACAGCTTGTCAGTGCGGCGGTGGTACAGGGGATTGGAAACGTTACCGCGCTAACAACGACGGCGTCAGGTGTGTCGTACGGCGTTGACTTCCTCAAGCAGCGGAGGAACGGGTGACAAGCGCCACCAAACGCAGCTTCGCTCTACACACAGGAATGCTTCCACGTCGTCTCCGACACGGCACGCGCTTCCTCGTTCTGCACATCCTCTGCACCCGTTCCCGCTCGCCATCGGACGACTCGGAACCCGCCGTGCGTCGCGGCCGCGCCGACACCGCCGTCCGGCGACATGCCCGTGACGGCTGCCTGACACTTTGGGTCGGCCGCATGTACTCTCCGCATGGCGGCTTCGCACGCCAGCTGCACCTCCTCGCCGCCGCGCATCTGCTCGACGACCAGAAACGCGATGCAAAACCTGAGCATCTGATCGCCGTCGCCCGACGCGACGGCGGCGCCAGCCTCGTCTGCGTACAGGCCTGCGCCAACGATTGGCGAGTCGCCCACGCGCCCGGGCGCCTTGAACTGCATCCCGCTCGTCGCGCACCCGGCCGCGAGGCGTCCGTCCGCGTCGCGCGCGATCATGCCCACGGTGTCGGTGTGCGGCATGGTCGCATGGTCGCGGTGCGGGCCGGGGCTGATCTCGCCGTTGCGAAACTGTCTGTAGCGCTTCTTGGCGTGCGGGGATAAAAGCTGGGCAGTGTCCGTGGCTGCCACCATGCCGTGGCCAGTCGCGAACGCGGCAGCGCCGTCACCTCCGAGGATGGAGTGCGGGCTGTGGTCGAGCACGTGGCGAGCGGCGGGGACCGCAGCGCGGAAGCCCTCCAGCGCCATGACAGCGCCGATGCGCCCGTCGTCGGTCATGAGGGCGGCATCGAGCTGCAGGCGGCCGAGGGCGTTGGGGAGGCCGCCATAGCCGGCCGACGTGACGCGGGTATCGAGCTCGACGGCGTGGATGCCGTGTTCGACTGCGTCCAGCGCGCCGCCGCCATTAGCTAGAATGCCGGCCGCCGTGACGACGCCGGGGCCGCTGAAGGCCCAAGTCGCGACGATAGAGGACATGGTGGGGGTGAATGTGAATGTGTGGGAATCGGATGCGTGCTTACGCGGGGGGGGTCGTGCCCCTAGACGGTGATCTCAACTGGTGGACACGTGGACACGTGAAAATGAGTAGCGCCCGGCGCGGTGTGATTGGCTTGCTGCAAATTAGAGAGCGAGGCGAGTGGGCCGAATTTTTGCATCACAAGATATTCCGACTCCAACGACTCGGTGCTTCAGCCGGATCCATCCTCTGCGAACCTCGCCCCCTTCCATCGCCGTGCCCGACTCCCCCCGTCCCATTCACCAATGTCGCCCGTAACATTTGTGCCCTCTCCGCTCTTCCCCCAGCGCGCCCCGCGTCGCCCCCTCTCCTGCCTCTCCTGCGCCCGCGTCAACCCTGTCCACGCCGTGACGCCGCGCATGTCCGCCGTCCCACTGCCAGATGACACGGCCCTGGACATGCTGTCCTTTGCCCTGTCCGGCCCCGCCTTTCTGGCTGCCGGCCTGCTGACGGCGGGCGGCCTGGGTCTTCTGTTCTCTTTCGGCGAGGTCGGCCCGCGTCGCGAAGTCTCGTCAACCTTCTTCTTCCTCCGCATCCAGCTCCCGTCCGCGGTTAACGTCGAAATGCCCGACGGCACCACGCGGCGCCTCAGGGAGGGGGAGAGCGTACTCAAGCTGCCGACGCGAGAGGCTTGCACGGCCGTGACGCGCCGGGTGCCGCAAGAGGGATTGAGCTACTCGGTGTACAAGGCAGGGGGTGAGAACATGAGGTTGGTGCAGAGATGGCCCAGGCCGGTCAACGCAAAGGGAGGGAAGTGGCCGCAGGGCGTGGTGCAGAGAGAGGACGAGGGCTTTTTGGAGGCCCGGTGGGAGGAGTATCAGAGATTGGGGGAGGGCGGTGATGTAGACGAGGAGTGGAAGAAGGTGATAAGCCAGTTGGGGGGAGTGAGAATCGTGCAGAATGGTGACTGCAAGCTATGCGGGGGGACGGGGTTGAAGAGGTGTTATAGGTGCGGCGGAGTGGGGTCAACGGAGACTTTTGAGTGCGATTGTCAGGGGGGGAAAAGGGCGTGTGAGTGGTGCGCGGCGGGTTAGGATAGCTTTACTTTGATGTGGGCAGCGTCATGCTGGTTTATGTATAATACACAATGCAGGGTTATTCCTTAAGTCGTTTGATGGAGCGGAGGAGAGATTCCTTCGCGGCTTTGTTTGAGGGTGCAGCCGAGGTCTTACGCTTGCGCTTCATGGTTTGGTCGATGGTTTTCTGCCTGCGATCAGCGCCGCGCGCCTTGCGGAGCGCGGCGATGTGCGCAGGGAGCCCCTGTTCAGCGATGAGGCGGTCGACCATGGCGACGTAGGCAGCCATGTTGAACTTCCGTTTCAAGCCCGCATCGTTCATGTATCGCACTTTTCCCCAGATCGGGCGCTCTTTCCAGCCCTGGTCGTGCAAGCCGAAGCACCAGATGACACCGGCGTACGAGTTGGGATCGACGGCGTCGAGTTCCCACCGGTTGTTGAGGCGGAGGCCGTAGTCCATGGCCACCGCGGGGTCGTCTACCCACCCGATTATCTGCTTCACCCAATACATGCGCATGTAGCCATGCTGCTTGCCGCGCACCACCATCTCCAACTGCGCCGCGTTCCAGTAGTCGTCGTGCGTCAGTCCAGCTTCTAGTTCTTCGTAGGTATATGTAGTCGGGCGCTTGTCGGCTTTGTGCAGCTCTAGCGAAGCTCTCGCGAACGAGGGGACAATGTGCTCGTAGGCGTCATACTTGTCGGGATTGAACCAGCACGCGTTCGCGGCAAGCTCTCTCCGGACGATGAGCTCTTCCAGGAAGGAATCAAGGCTCTCTTTCATGCCGCTTTTTTTATCCTTTGCAAAGTCCAGTGTTTGGAGGGCAATGTCAACGGGAGAAATATTACCCGCCCGTAGATAGGGGCTCAGGTCAGACTGCAACTGCTTCGACGGTTCATTCCTCCCAGGACCATACTCACGTAATCGCTCCTTGAGAAACGTTTTGAGCACCTCTTGTGCCTCTTTCTCTCCTCCCTTGAAAGAAGAAACGAGCGGAGCCCCTCTGTCAAGCCCCTGCAGCGAGGCCAGTACATCATCATGTTTTTTCACATCAACATGATCGATGCGATCCTCGGTTTTGCGTCCGTCCTCGAGCCAATCGTCGGCTACGTCCCACTTTCCATCGCCTTGTTCCTGGTAAGGAAGGGCGACTTGTTCCAGCGGTTCAAGGAAATCGTCGCGGAGGCGGTTAATCTTTGGTCGTATCGTTCTTGCCGCATGCTCGGCTTTGTTTGTGGCCGTCTCGACAGGAACAACAACATCTGCCTCGACAACGATAAGCGGCACTTGCAGAGCTCTCGCCGCACGTTTCCTAGTCGCGATCCCCGGGCGTAGATACGAGGCGTCAGTTACAACTGCGGACGCATCCTTCGCCATTGCAGGAATGGCTACGTCAGCTTCTGCCTCTGGTGATAAGACGACAAATGGAACTTTTCTCTGCCGTAACGATGCCGCGACGTCCGCGAGGCCTTGTAGCAAGAACGAGGTGTGGCGCTCGGGCAGGGGTTGGCTGTCTTGCGCAGTGACGTCCATGAGGTAGATGACACGAAGAGCCTGCTCCATTGAAGCGGCCATGTGGGCCGCTTCCTCCAGAGCGGGGTTGTGACGGACGCGGACTGCATTGTTCATCCAGTAGACTACATGGCTGCCTTTCGTGTTTGCATGGGGGTCATTCAGGGTGCGGACGCGCTCCCGCTCGACGGGGGAGCTTAGGGAGGACATCGTGGCAACAAATCTTCTTGGAGCTGCCAGATAGTTTGCGGGATGTACGTCGAGGCAGTGCGTTGACGTGGCGATGGCCCGATACTCACGTAGATTTTGCACACTCTTGCCGAAGAATACCCTGGTTGTGGGAAATAGGAAAGCAGTCGGCATCGGAGAAAGACACGTTCCACACTTTCAAACCGCAGCGATCGGAGTTAGCTTTGGTCTTTCAAATATGTACTTGCTGCAGATCGTCGATGGTTTGTGCGATGGATAAAGATCAAAAGCCGGGTCAAGACCAGTGTTGGGCGGGCATGCTTGACCCTTGTACGAGCAGCATGGTCTGTTGCATGTCCCTTGTACGCGGGGCATGTATAAAAAATTGGGAAATATCACGATTCGTTGGCAAACTCGTGCCATTTGGCTTTATCAGTAGGCTAATTTCGGAAAAGTAGCAGTTCAGTAGGAGAATAAGGGAAAAGTGGCAGTTCAGTGGGGGAAGCAGCCATTGCATGCGGAAATTACCCACCGTGACAAACTGCGCAAACATAGAAACAGCCGTTGATCTCAACGTCTCAATGAGTTCGGATTGGTGTGAGTTGTTGACAACTCACACTAATTGGGCTCTGATGTGACATCACATCAGAGCCCAAAGCTCGGCCTCCTAATTAACACTCTACGGGCTGTAAACGAGGCAGGATGCTTGTTTTCACCACTAATTCGAGACAAGAAATTGCCCAATTTGGGGGTCTTGAAAACAACAACATTTTTCGTTAATTAAAAAGGGCTACAGTGGTACCTTCTACATATCGCACCCCAGTGTCACAACGCTTCAAAGTGCGATATATCCGATACACCCAATCACCGCAATTAGATTGGGTGACTAATTTAGGCTGGGTGCGAAAATAAAATAGCCCATGTTATTTTATGACTGAGGGTGTCAAAAAGCCGTTTACAGTATCGGGTTGAACGGACTGGGAAAAATGAAGAACTACTGTACGCAACACGACGGCGGTCCCGCCTCGCCCTGATCTAGTCCCCGACAACTCCCGCAATGCCTTCACACCTGAGCGGCCCTATTTAGCGCTCTCTTGCTCGCGCGCTCGCGTGTCGTCCCACAACAAGCCGGAACCGCCCTCTTAGCACCGACACACCTCCAACCCAGTTGCATATTACTGACAATTATCCCGCACAGCCCCACAACTCAGTTCGTCGCAACATCCTCGTTAGTACCCTCGCGCAACGATATCACGCAACTTCTTGGATGATAGCAGAGGCTGCTGAGAGTCGCCCAACGCATATCATTTCAAAATGCGTCCGACGGTTCCCAGAATTATTTGCAAGAAACGACAAGGCAAAATTGGCAAAAGCAAGCAGATGGTGGAAGCTTCGAGACAAAACCATGGCTCTCAAAAGCGAGGGTAAAAGAGAAGGCAACATCTCTTCACTCACGAGAGGAGGCATTCGCCGAGCGCAGTTCAAAGCACAAAAGGGACGTGGGAGAAAGAGAGCCAATTGGGTACGTGCTCTGTTTAGGGACTTAAGATCGGAGTTCGAGCGGCTCAGATCTGCTGGTATCAAGTTCAGTGCTTCTGTTCTTCGTGATAACGCTATTCTGATGATAGCTGAAGCCGCGGTAGGATCCCCGTATCACAATTCGCTTCATCAAAATGGTGTTCTACTGGAGAACAAGATTACCATTCGCTGGATACAACACTTTATGCGTGCTAAAAACATTGTTGTTTGCAGACAGACCGGAAAACTATTGCTGAGTCCAGAAAAAGAAGTTCTGCTAGAGCAGACAGTCGCTTATCACATGAGAGAGCTTCAACGCGGATTTGAATCAGGGTTGCTAAACGAGGACAATATTGAAAACGCAGATGAGACGCACTTCGTTTTTAATATGGACAACGGAAAGACACTAGGGTTCTTTGGTGACCAACATGTCAAATATGCCGACGTGGTCTCGTGGGGTGATCCAATAACGATGATGGTTCGCCTTTCAGGCGGATCCCATGCACAAATTTATCCGCCTATGATAATATTTAAAAATCAGAATCGCTCGCATCCTATTCGTGGTGTGCCGGATGACGTACCCGGCGTGTGCTATCGTTCGTCACTTAAAGGATAGATGGATGGCCTAGTGTGGCATGATTGGCTCTGCGAAGCACGCGCCATCTCAGCACTTCCGAGTGATCGACAAAGAGTGTTGTATGTGGATAATTGTTCGTCGCACTGGGAAGGACCACATGCTGCTGAATGTCTACGCGAGATAAAGACCACGATGCAGAATCTGTCTCCAAATTCAACACATTTAACTCAGCTCGCCGACTCGTTCATAATTCGGAAGATTGAAGAAGTTTGGAGAAGACAGTGGGATAAATATAAATACCAATGCATACAGGAAGGACTCTGGAAGAATACCAGCAATGGAAAGGGCAGTGGAAAGCTTCTAAATCCTGGAAAAGGGTTTCTTTGCGACTGGCTGCCGATTCTGTAACGGAAGTTAACACAATGAAGGACAAGAAAGGTTTTTCTTATGCAAGGAAAGCAATGATACGGACAGGCATGTCTTTAAATGTGAATGGACTGTGGGAGGAAGGTCAGCTCACTGATGATTTAACGCAGATTATCGCGAAGCATAGAGTCCATTTTGAAGGAGAGCCTGTTTTTATTGACAGTGCGGATGTTGAAACAGAGTCCGAGAGCGAATAACGTTTCTTCTTGCTGCTTTAAATCAGGTGCAAGGTTGCAGCCTCCGCCCCGGAGCGGGAGAGGAAGTGGAGCGCGGTGGCGGAGGAGAGAGACAGGAGGAGCGGGAGGAGGAGGAGGGTGGAGGGCAACGAGCGGGACATAAGGGTTGGGGAGCAGGCGCGCGGGGGGGGTAGGGGGTTGGGGGAGGAAGCGGGGCTTCGCCAAAAAGACGTGTGCCGCGCTGCCCACGCGGGTGAACCCATGGTAAAATAGTACATACAAAATTGACTTGGCCTTCTTTATTTGCGCCATACACTATATTAATCTAGGTGCAGATTTGTTTTGGGCCACGATATATTGGGTTTAGAGGTTCTGTATGAGCAGTTCTAAATTAACTTGGCCCATTCTAACTGCGGTGATTGGTGTAGTGCGATGTAGCAAATACTCTCGAAAAAGATACTGTTTAGTTATGTTGTGAGGCAATGAGGTGGAACTGGGCAGAACTCCTCAGCCGCCGTCGCCATAAGCCAAAGTTGGAGGTACTGTGCGGGTCGCTTGTACAGTACGGCCTCTACTAGTGTCTAGACGACCGGCAATTTGCCTCATATGAGGTCACCCTTGACCTCATATGAGGTCAAATGCTCTACAGTAAAATTTAAACAAAATTTAAGATTTTCGCAAGTATAGAACAAAAGGAGCACAATTTTTACGAAGTAGAACTTTGAACGACTATAAAGACAACTATAAACGACTAGTTAGTAACTGACAAGCCAGCTCAGTGGTCTGCAAGGATCGCTGAGTCTTAGAGGCCGGGGTTCAACTCCTCGCTGAGCACTTTAGTGGTCGAAAAATCCCTTCGGGGATCTCGATGGTTCTTGTTCGTGACCTGCAGCCCAGGACGCTTTATAGCGCCCACTCGAACATGAGATTGAATACGGTGACATCTCATAAAGGGGCATTCCGACACGGCTGCAGGTCTTCCAAGCAAGTCTTTAGACGCAGGATAGAACCATAGGGGGCAAAAGGAGTTTTTTTATCTCTTTTTGCTCTATTTTACTCAAATGCTGACCCATTTAGTCAGTTTTAAAGGCCTAGAACGCTTTAAGCACTAATAGTACTTACCTTTGTAAGTAAGATCGTGACGTTCGTCGACGTGTTTCTTAAAACAGTCACGCCCAGTCTGGTGATGACAAAGGTATACTTCTTTGTCAAAATATGCCTTGCAGGCTGAGCAAATAAACTTTGACTTTTTTGTACCTTTGCAAATATTGCATCTGGATTGATAAAGAGCACAAGTCTCCTCACCGGATGCGCTTTTACGCTTGCGAGTGGTTGGAGTTAGGTGAGTATCAATTCCACTGCCAAACCCAACATCTTCATCTTCAACAGCACTGTCTGATTCTCGCTGACGTAACGATATACGATCATACTTGTTATCAATCAACTGGTCAGTAAGCTCACAATAAAACTGATTTGGAGACATCTTAGAACCATCTCCTTTTGCACCTGCATACAGTTTCCATGCATCCACAATGCAAATGGCCAATAAAGAAGTGTTAACACGCATAGACCACTCCTTGACTTCGAACTTCTTTTCCAAGCCGAGATCATCCTGACGAGATCTGTTGTGGCGGTCAATCTGAGAGCAAGTTTCATAATACTGCTCACAGACTGAGGGAATACGGATAGACAATTCCTCTTTTCGTGTCACGCCATGACGTGTACGCCATCTCTCGCGGTAGATTGGAGTTCTTTCGTTGGATGTTCCGACAGAACTAATAAAGTATCTGCGGTCTCGGTCCACCCACATCACTGCCATGAGATGAGGCCCGGCCACCGGCTTCGAAACTAGTGTGACGTGCTCTCCCTTTTCAGCAATCTCCAAATGAGATAGATATTTCATCGGATATTTCTTGGTAGATGTCTTCACCACACCTGTGAATCTAAGACCTTTCTCATAAAGTGATTCAGCCGTGTGGACAGAAGCAAAGTACGAATCCGCGCAGACAACACGATTGGTGTGAAATCATGGCTGTAACAACCTCAAAGTCACTGCCGTTACGTGTAAGTGGTCACTTTCAAAATCCTTTAAAGAAGTCTCCTCAGCTGAGACGACGTTCTCAATTCTTATTATGATTCCACTTTTTCCACATGCAGCAGTTTTCAACTCACAGCCATTCTCGGGTTTTCGGTCCATGGCCACATAATGAGGAAGACCGGTTTCAATCCAATCTCCTCCAAGTCCATACCAGCGTGACATACTCTCATCAACGCAGATGTTCTGTGATGGAATCACATGTGATGCTCTGTGATCATTGATTGCGACCATGAAGTCCCTGATCATACCCCATCTGTCATTTGAGTCAGCTGGAAAGCTGAACGTGACATTCTGACGAAGCTCCTCGAATCTTCTGCGGGAGATGATGTTTCCGAATTGAGGTTGCGGGAGATATTTGCTGGTTTCCTGTGAGCTCCAAAGAGACCTTCTGGTGCTGAATTCAATCCGAGTCATAAGGATTAGCACCCCGAAAAACTTCAAAATTTCACCTCTTGTAGTCAAGCGAAGTCCCCTTGATTCCATTGCATCGTTGGTGTAGGAAACCATTAATGCCAAGTGCTCCTGTGGGAACATCCACATGAAGTAGTCCATGGGATGCATTTGAGATGGACTGTGACCACGGGATATAATCTCATCAATCGGTCCAATCACCTTCCATCTTCTCGGCGGTATCATACCATTTAAATGCATCGTGACTTCCTCACGCTTCCAGGCCCGGCCGTGGACATTCATGAGGCCATCTTGGGAATCCATTTCGTCACTCTCGGAGATTCTCGTACTCGGGCTGAGTGCTCCTTCTAGTGGCGTCACGCGGTCCTCTGTAGGCTCCGGTTGCGCATAATGTTCAGTTTCTTGCTGGATATGATCTTCAGGACCGTCATCGATCAGGTCCATCACTTCACCAGCCTTGATGTTAGCTATGCGAAGCGTGACTTCCTTGACGCCATCTGATAATTCCCATTTAGCCCTGACTGAAGTGACACTGCGACCCTTCACTTTGTCAGTTTTCATGCTAATGACAGTTCCCGTGACCAACTTGATCTTCCAGGAGGCTCTATACATGCGACGACATTTACTCTGAGCTGTGAGCAGTCTTGCACGAGTGTGGACGCGGTTACCTGCAATAATTCGAGGATCATTGACGCTCACCATTTTGAAGAAATTTTGGGAAGAGGAAGACGAAAGTGTTGATTAGGGAAGACTGAGATACGGAATTGAATGTTTTCTGGTTTGCCAACGTTTAATACTCTAGTCGTAAGCTTTTCACTACAGTAGCGATAAATTTCTACAATTATTCGAATTGCAAAAGCCCGCCTAAAAACTGGCCTCATATGAGGCCATTTGTCACCTAGACACTAGGGGCTTCCACAGTAGAGCGACACGTGTGTAATGTCATACACGTGGCTGATTTCGTGTCAAGCCCGAAACAGTGCGATATATCCGGTAATAATGCGCTATTCAAAAGTGCGAGATAGAGCTACCCCCCCTGTAATAGACACTAGAGAGGCAAAACAGTAACAACGAAATTTCAGCACCTTTCAGAATACTGTACCCTTGGTACTGTACATAGCTTGCTTTTCTGGGAAGTTTGAGTGATCCTTGACTTTCGAATCTACTTATTGGTGTTTTTGCGAAAGTTAATTTTTTTCGTGGCGGGGAGAATCTATTGGTAAAGTTTGATAAAGTTCGAAAATGTTGAAGGTACTTTTCAGCAATTCTAACCGTTTTGCCTTGCTACAAGCCATTTCAGACATATCTGCGTTGCCTGGTACGAGGTAAGCTGTCGAAAGGCTTAGCCTCACATGCGGCAACGAAAGTTTCAGCGCCAAACCCGAATAAGTTCCTTTCTGCCTCTCAACTTCCCCGTCACCCTTGCTCTCTAACTCCCACAGAAACTCCCTTGGAACGCTAGCGCGCAGCAATCACTCCATCAAGATATTCACTGTATTGCCAACTACTTTGTGGCTTTCGAAGCTTTCTCCACTGCAGCATTCGGAAGTGCTCAGGGCTAACTATACCACACTCTCACGAATCACACTCAATTCTGAAACGATCGCTTATTTCTTGCCAGCATTTGCGCCCTTCAACTCTTCACTCCTAGCTCTGCTTGAATAGCGTATACAGGCGTTCAAGCCTTTCAGGTAGAAGTCTCGCATTGTTTCAACCGCCCGCAAATTCCGTCATGCTTACCGCCGCAAAATTCAAAACCCACTGCGCTCAATTGGCGAACCCTTTTATAACACCAGACCTAAGAAAAGAACTTGCTACGGAAGTCAGGGACTCTATTGAGCTCGTGCACTCCCAAGACTACATTTCATTTCTCACTCATTTCTTGCCGGCGTTCAAGACAGTTCTAACTTCGCTGACCAAGCCTCAACAAGTTGACAACATCATTCATCAAACCCGCGCAATACTTCTTGAGATATTACATCGCTTGCCCCACAATGAAACTTTGCGCGCTAAATTTCTTGAAGTCTTTTCTCTGGCCATGCATATTTTGCGAACAGACAACGAGGAGAACGCTATCACTGCCATTCATATTATTTTTGATTTGCACAGAAACTATCGCCACCATTTGGGTAGTCAAGTCGAACCTTTCCTGGATTTTGTGCGCCTGCTGTATGAGTCCTTTCCTGCTGCTGTGAAATCACTTTTACTTACGAAAAGACCACCTGATCCAGCCGGACAGCCGGGTCCTAGAAGAATGGCGACTTCTTCCCAATCTTTCAAAGTCATGACAGAATCGCCGCTCCTAGTAATGTTTGTATTTCAATTGTACCCTGTCTATATCAAGACACACGCTCCACGGCTAGTTCCGCTGATGATTCGGGCCATAGAAGTGGATCTGCCAGCTTATTCCGTCGCAGCTGCACCGAAGGCAGCATTCCACGAATTCGTCGCAGCCCAAATCAAGACAGTATCATTTTTAGCATATCTTTTGAGAAAGCATCGAGAATGGATGAAAGCTGATGATACATTGCTTGCGCGGAGTGTTGTCAAGCTTTTCCAATCATGCCCAGCGGATGCTGTGTCGATTAGGAAAGATCTACTCGTGGCTTCTAGGCATATGCTACAGACCTTCCATCATGGCTTTTTCAGTGAACTAGATTTGCTACTAGATGCAAAGGTGCTTCTCGGTACGGGAAGAGCGGCAGTTGTTTTACGGCCGCTTGCGTACTTGTTCTTGGCCGAAGTGATCCACCGAATACGGTCGCACTTGTCTTTCCGTCAGAAAGAGAAGATTATTTTGATCTTCTCCACCAATCTACATGATCCAACATTTAGCTACAGTATACAAATAAGTGCCGTACGCCTTCTATTGAATCTCATTGATAGCATTTCAAAGGGCGACATCGATGACGCGAATCGGAACACCGGCTCTCGTGAGTTGTTGCTACGAATACTGCGGACGATGGTGGCGAAGTATAAGACGCTGGGGGATCAAGTGCCAAGGCTTTTGAAGTCTATCGACGAGCTACGATCGAGACCAAACCCTCTAGAGTCAGGCGAAAGGCTTTGTGAGGTAATGGTCGGAGATCCGATGAAGGAGATCGTCGATTTTAAGTCTTTGCTGAAGACGCTCACACATGGGCTAAAGACCGTGATTTGGGCAGCAATTAACTCTGGCGTGTCCGATTCGAGTGTTGCGAAAGGCTCGGGAGGCCCTAGCGGGCCCTCAAGTAATGCAGACACGTCTTTTGCCCCTCAGCCCAATGCACCCAGTGGTCGGAAGGGGGTGCGGGCTGGCCTGTTAGAAAAAGAATGTGAAACCATTGCTCAGCTACTTGAGGCTGGTCAGAAGTGTTTTCGGCTGTACAGTCGCTTGGAAGATAAGAGGGACTGCTTGTATGATGTGAATAATTTTGTACCTGCTCAGAACAGTGGTGACGACGAAACGGTGGGAGCTGATGCGTTTGTCACCGAATCAGATCCGGATTTCGCCTTTCTTGGGTCCGGCCCGAAAGTCAGCGACAATTCAATACAGGAAGAAAAGGATATATTCGACCTCTTCGCGCAGATATTCAAGGTCCTGGATATCAGAAGCTTCCAAGACATATTCGGACTGAGAATGGGAGATCTCTTTGAGCATGTAGTGGAGAACCCTGCCGCGCTAATAATCCCACAACAATTTCTCGCCAACGACAATATATCGAAGTATTTCGCCGATATCCTGTTGAACTTCTTGGTGGACAACCTCGCCGTCTTGGATGTACCGCTTCCTCAGACTGCGAAAGACTTAACCCAGAAGGAGAAGATTGCCCAAAGCTTGCTGAAGCTTTTCAAAATTCTCTTTGCAAGTGTCTCATTCTTCCCTACAAATGAGCCAGTACTGCGATTGCATATTGGGTCTCTCGTTCAAAAGTGTCTTAAGCATGCAGCTACGGCCAAAGATCCCCACAACTACTTACAAATGTTGAGAGCTTTATTCAAAACTCTGACTAAGTCAAAGGGTCAGTTTGAATTGCTGTACAGGGAGTTTATGCCATTAGTGGAACCGCTTCTGAATGGACTTCTCGCTCTGTACCAGGGGCCTAACCGCTTAGCCCATAGTGACCTCATCGTGGAGCTATGCCTCATGATCCCAGCTAGACCTTCCACAATATTTCCGTACCTGGACCTTCAAATTAAGCCAATAGTGTGGTCATTACAAGGAGGCACAGAGAACGTTCAATACGGATTGAGAACTCTAGAGTTCTGGGTTGATATGCTTCAACCAGAATATTTGGAGAGGTTGCTGGCGCGCGTGGACCCCGATTTGTCCATGTCCATGTATCGGCTCCTAAGAGTGTCACAATCTAGAAACACAGATCCCGCCGCAACGACACTACGCATTCTGGGGAAACTTGGGTCAAGAGCACGTTGCAACAGAGCTCTAAAACCTTCATTTGAAACTGGCCCAGATTCACGCTCAGTACAGAAAATGCCTCTGACTTGGCCTGACAAGAGTAACGCGACGCTCCAGACTGACGCTTTGGTACAGCTCTCAGTGGACGGACTGCTTAATAGGAGGAAGGATGCTTCATTTTCTAATAGTACTGAGTACAAGACGGAGGCTTGGATGTTTCTATACTCATGTTTGTGCCCCTTCATTGGGCTCACATCTGACATAAGCCACTTGCCATCGGCTTCTTCCATGGCGCGTACTCTTGGTGTCTGGAGCACCTCTGGATCCAAAAGTGCAAGTGACTCAGAAAAGGCCTCTGCATCGCCATCTGCACCCCACAAGACAAAACAGGAAAGAGCATCGGAAACCTCCATGGTGAAAGACATTTTAGTCGCACTCATTGGAACAGCTGAATTGGTACAGGTAGAGAGGCTGATTGCGAGTGCTGCCGGTAAATCCAGCACTTTCCCGGCCGCCAAGACATGTGTTTCGGATATGTCTCGATATTTTGCCTTGTTAACGGTTCAACAAATCGAGAAAGAGGCTCAAGAATCCTATTCCTCGCAAACCTCACACATTCAATTAGAAAATGATCATTCAGAGGGGTCCATGTTAAGTCATGACGTGTTTCTTGATGCAGTCACTTCTGTGATGTCGCTGGAGGATAGGACCCTATGTCAGAGTGGCTTGGAGAGCCTGCAGGCGTATGTTTCTGGTCTATTTGATTATTCCATAACGACGACTGCGAATGCCTTAGGCAACGAATCGGGGGGGCAGACGGCCCGGGAAGGCGTTCTGTGTGACGGAAAGACGGACGAAGCACCGGGAGATTCTAAAAGGGTATCAATAGGGAACGGGACGACCAAGTCCCCGCAGAGCCGAGCAGATAACTTGGTTCAGGTAGTATCCCCGACGAAGTCAAACGTAGTCAAGCCGTTAGAAATCAAAGGAGAAGAAGTGATTCCTTCGAAAGGCCCTCAGGTTCACCCTACGGGTACCGCAAAAGTACAGCCTGACGTGGAAATGACAGATGCGAAAAATGGTCTATCTGACGAGAAAACAGAAGCGAGGAAGAACCAGAAAGAGATGCCAGACGAACACATTCTTGCCTCATCTCTTGCTCCGATCGTAGATCACTTGTGTCATTGCTGCTATCAGAAAAGGTGGAATGCCAAATGGGCTGGTGCCTACGGTCTCGGAATGCTTGTGGATGGGATTGCGGATGATATGTTTTCATCATCTTATTTTGCCCGCAACATCATATATATGGTGCGCGCGTTAATGTTTGTAATCAGAGATGCCTCGGCGGCAATTGAAGATGAAATTGTGGCACGCGGAAGGACTATTTTGCGAAAGCTTCTTGAGACATGCTTCACCAGAGGACAGACTATGAATTCACCCGGAAAGTCGTTGCCTTCCGAGCTTTCGAAAGTCCTGCGGGAAGCTACCGTTCGTCTCACGATGGATTTATCATGCGATTCATCCAACGCACGCGAGACAGCTCGACAGTGCTTACGGGTACTAGGGAAGACACTGAACCGGGATGTGGCGGATATTCTCTCCCACGACTACTGCAAAGATCAACTACTGCGCCCACTCATGCAGCGATCCGTGCGGCAACACCCGTTTCCTACTCAAATAGGTTTCATTGATGCGATGATCTTTTGTCTGGAGCTTGAAAGACCGCTTTTAAAGGAGGAACTGTTTTCAACACCTTTGACAAATGTGTTTTTAAACGAAGTCATTGCTGTGTCTGAAGATCCTACATTTGAAAAGCTGACAGAAGCTGAGGAAGGAATTCGTAGCAAGCTTGTGGAGAACAAAATGATTCACACGGGGGTAGCTAAGGACCTGCTTGTATTGAGACGAAAAGCTGTTGAGCTGCTATGTAGTGTTGTTGTGAACTGTTCAAGCACCCTCCTAGAATCAAGAAACGATGCCCTTTTTCGAAACATTATTTCAAGTTTGTTCAAGAATCTTCAATCGAGGGACAAGGACATCGTTGATAGTGCAAAGCTTGGTCTGAAACAAGCTATTGCAGACCACCCTAAACCCAAGGATCTTTTGCAGCGCAATTTGCGTCCAATACTTAGTAATTTGGGCGATTATCAAAGGCTAACCATGCAATATGTTGAGGGACTTAGCAGAGTCTTGGAGTTGTTCTCACACTGGTTTAATGTGAACTTAGGAGAGAAATTACTGGAGCACCTTCACAGATGGCTAGAGCCTGAAAATCTGGTCCACCTGAAGCGTTGGGCGCCAGGCACTGAGGCAAGGGTCGGGGCGGCAGTTTTGAACCTTTTTCATCTACTCCCGGCCACTGCTTCTAAATTTCTAGAGAAGATTGTGCTTATGGTTATTCAACTAGAGTCGGTGTTGGCCGTGGCCGGCCCTGGCGTTGCGCACCTGGGATTGAAAAGCGCGAAGGCAGCATCTACCTCTCCATACAGGGAACCGCTGTTGAAATACTGTAACCAACATGCTGCTGTAGCAACAAAATATTTTCTGCATCACCTCGAATCAGACCCTAAACGGCAGTTGTTCTTCGTAATGCTGCGTTCAACGGAATCCCTCCCATTAAGAAAAGAACTTATGGGAAACCCGAAACGACTTGTTTCTCAAACTCTTTTAAGCGTGGAAGGAATGGGTACCAAGAGTCTTCACATAATCACGTTGATCGATCTTCTGTCAAGGCATGACCCTTCCTGGCTCGGAAAGGACCCAGATTTAATAGCGAAGTTATCCAGCTACTGGAAGACAGCATCATGCTTCTCTGATTCTTACGACAGCGCCCCATCCGCGTTGGGCCAAGTGCAAGAAGTGGAAACTCTTGCGAATGTTTTTATTCGCTATTCCCTTCGTTTTGAGAAGGAAGTTGCGACCCTGTTTCTTCTTCTCACAGTTTTTTCAGCAAGAACAACGTGCGACTTTACCTTTGTGAAGGATTTCTTGCATGCAAAGGTGACGAAGCCCAGCCCAGCAGAAAGCCGGAGCACCATCATGGTGAATCTTTTCTCCTTATTTCAAGATAAGACGGCTCCTCAGGACAGAAAGGTCCACGCGTTACAATATATCGTAATCCCGATGCTCGAGTATCATCTTGAATCTCGGAGAAAGCAAACAGAGGAATCCTCTGCAGCAGGGAATGATAAGAGCTCAAATAACCCAATGGATATTGACCGCTCAGGCCCAGTATCACAAGGACCTTCGAGTAAAGATAGTAGTAAGAGGGCGTCATCAGGCAATGACAGTGGAATCGCAGCTTCGTTGTCGTCGGCAGTGCACCGGGGAGAAGCTCCCAGATCAACTACCTCTGAATTGAAACTCACTGCCTCCGGCAGCAGCCGTTCGGGGCAGACAAAAGATGAACCTACCAGCAAGGACACCTCCGTTCATTTGCCTCCAGACAGGGTTCTCAACGCGCCCATGATACAACGAATTATGGTAGAATTGTTTGATCAGCCAGACGAGATCCTCCGACACTACAACGAGCCTTTGAGCGCAGAGTTGCTTCGATTGGCGACTCTCCTCATCCGATACATGCCAGGAGAAGTCGGCAGGTACCGCAAGGAACTAATCAAGTTTGGGTGGAATCATTTGAAGCGAGAAGACTCAATTGCGAAGCAGTGTGCATTTGTCAACGTGTCTCGGTTTTTTGAGGCCTACCAAGCACCTGACAAAATTATACTACAAGTTTTTGTAGCTCTGTTGCGTGCATGCCAGGGTGAAGGGAAGGAACTTGTACAGGAAGCTCTCGATATTCTTACTCCAGCACTTCCTCATCAATTGGAACATAATCCGGCAGTGCATAAGTATCCGCTATGGATACGGTACACGAAGAAGATTCTTCTAGAAGAGGGACATAGCGCGCCAAACCTCGTTCACATATGGCATTTGATTGCTCGCCATGCGTCCCTTTTCTACGTTGCGAGGGCACAGTTCGTACCGATCATGGTGAACTCTCTCTCACGGATTGGTCTAAGCACCTCTGCAAACGCAGAAAGTCGCCGACTTACACTTGATCTTGTAGATCTCATCATACGATGGGAACAGACTCGTCGTCAAAATATACAGAGCAATTCTCCGCAAGACATGGATGGAGATTCGCAACACAGTGGACAAAATAGGTCGAGAAAGAGGACGAGAGAGGAAGAGACAAAGTCCAGCATCACTGGGGAAGACTCACCCAAGGGCACTGAGAGGTCTCATGTCCAGTCCAACGAACCCCCGTCGAAGACCAGAAGATCTGAAGGTTCTCATCCAATTCCAGAGTGCGCGTCACCGAAAAAGCCAAATTCAGCTGTTGGCCTGCGCGATACTGAAGACTTCAAGCCAACAACGGCTATGACTGATGTTTTGATTCACTTTCTCGTGCAAATTCCATTTCGCGGATTAGATCGTCGCGACTATCCGTTAGTTACGAAAAGGTGCATAATGCTCTTGAAACAAGCATCAGCTCTCTGGCCGGCTTCAACTGCAAGACTCGCGTTTCTGGGGAAATTTTTAGAAGCACCGAATGGTGAGAAGCCCAGTACACAACTTCAGCACGACTCAAAGAAGATCTCAAACCAGGGGTCTCAGTCGATGGCAAATCAAAGTATGGATGGTAAAATGGGCTTCAGAGGCGAGCTCCCACAGGCGGAAAGAGGGCGTTCTGGAGCCCGACATGCAGCTCTCTCTGCGGCTCTTGGAGTTGCGATCGTTTTGACCAAGTGCCAAGGGCGGAGGTTTGTGAAGGAGAATGTCTCACCAATCCGAGATTTGATCGTGCCGGCTGTGGCAGAGGGTGATTTTCGGATGGCTGGACTCTTTGCATCGTTGCTGAAAGAGCTCGTTCGGCTGTGGCCGCCACCCCCATCTGTGAACGTAGACATGGATATAAGCAAGCCGAAAATGAAGCAATCAAAAGGGCACGCGTCGAAGACTGCCTCGAAGGGAGATAGTTCTGTGCCTGTGACCAAGTCCACAGACCTTGATAAGGCCACGTCGAAGGATGATGAGCGATCCGAAAGAACGCTAGGACAAGCAGGAGATCTGTTGATGAAACCTGTTTACAACGTTATCCATGATGCTATTGACGGAGCATTAAAGTCCTCCGATCTGAGTGCACAAAACTGCGGTCTTCAAGTTCTGAAGGTGTTTTCTGATGATTCCCCCCAGGAATGTCTAAGATATCAAGAAATGCTGGTCAAAGGCCTGCAAAGAATGACCAGAGAGAAAGTGAATGCTGCACAGCAAGCGATCTCCTCAAACGCTGGCAGCACACCCAGCAATGGTTCAGGAAACCGCAGTAGCGGGGGGAAAGACCGCGGAAACGTCGGCACCCCAATCCAAGCTCATGGAAAGATATCGACTGGGAGCGAACAAGTTCCAACTGATGCAGGTCGAAGGGGCAAATCCCCGGCAGCTGAAGAACATGCCGCTCGCAAAGGCCGTGAAACTCAGGTCCTTATCTTGTATTTGTCACTGGTTGGGGACAACATGATAACGCTGGAGCAAAACCAGAAGAAAGCGACTTTACAATGTATTGTGTACTTGATTGAGAGATGTGTGGACGTTGATGTGCTTTTGGAAGTTGTACGGATTGCGAAGAGTTGGGTCGTATGGAAGCCAAGGAAGGAAGTACCTCTGTCTTTACACAAAGAGGCCCTTACTTCGAAGGAGAAGGTACAGTTGCTGCTCAAGATGGGAGCATTCGAGCGGTCTGTGAGGGAAGGCTCAGATGGGCTGATGAAGGCATACCTGTCTATAGTGCTAGCGATTTTCGCCGGCCGTGAAAAGCGGCCCGAGCTTCTTTCTAGACTAGAAAGGGCCTTTATGTACGGAATGAAAGCTGGGGAGCGTTCAACAAGGCAGCAGTTCTTCCAGATCTACAATGCTTCGATCGCATCTTCTCTTTCGACGAGACTCGTATTTCTATTGACAAAGCAAGACTGGGAACATCTGTCCGATTCCTTTTGGATTAAGCATGCAGCAGAAGTTCTGATCTCTGCCACAGAGAAAGACCGGCCCCTGCAGGGGTGTGTCGATGCATCTGTTTTCCCGGCTGTGGTAAACGGAGAGGCCGTTGACTTGGGAGCACAGTCACTAGCTTCCGAGGCAATATCCCGAAGTCGACGGGGTAAGGTCGAACTAGGAGGCTCGAAGGTGATATTAGATCCTGTTCTGCTTAGGTTTTACCGAGTGCAGAAACACATGAAAGTTCGGGACTTCGTCGATCCCTTACAGTCATTGCTACACTACGATTCTGAAATTGCTCATCGCGTTTGGGTTGACCTGTTTTCTAAGACTTGGGCCATGTTGAATAGCTCGGAAAAAGCGGCAATGGAGAGATCAATTCTTACGCTGCTCTCCAAGGAATATCATTTGGTGCAGGCTTCTTGGCCTCGTAACACGGTGCAAGCATTGCTTGATGCATTCGTCAAATGCACTCCGATGCCGCACATTCGAGCGGATTTAATTTTTCACTTGGGCTCTCGGTGGAATGCATGGCACACGGCTTTGCGCTTTTTGCAGTTACAAGAGGATAACTTAAAGGCGAAGTTACCACCGAAGCAGATCGGATCAGATGATAAGGCAGACACCAGAATAAGAAATGAACTGGAAGATGTTGCTGACGCAAGAGCAGAATTGTACCGCCTACTTCATGAACGAGACTTTCTTGCTGGGAGTTGGAAAGTTCGTGCAAAATCTCCATTAACCAAGAAAGCTCTCGTCCTGGAACAAGTAGCGAAGTACTCACAGGCGCAGAATGTGTACGGGACTGCCATGTCACTGCAATTGTCCACCGGGAGCGGATTTAGCTTCAGAGATGAGGGAAGTGGGCTACCACATGATCAACCAGGCAAAGCGGAAGTCTGCCTATGGGAGGAGCGTTGGGTAGACTGCGCAAGAAAGCTGTGTCAGTGGGAAGTTCTCACCGAGTTTGCTCGGGTGGTTGTCAATACTGAACTGTTGCACGAATGCCTCTGGCGTATTCCAGACTGGAGTGCTTTGAAAGAGTTGCTCATCAAGAACCCAGTCGAGGACGGCCCACAACTGAAACTCTACCAAGCCTACATGCAGCTACAAGAAAACAAATTGGATGTCGCAGATTCGTATATTCAGGGAGGCTATGAGAGGTCGCTTAAACGCTATTGCGCGCTTCCGGAGAGTTGGGATTTGGACGCTTATGGCCCTATCTTTGTCCAATTTCAACAGCTCGTGGAATTGCAAGAGTCTCGTCGAATTCTTTCGGAACTCAACGCACTTAGTCGGCATGGGAACACCACCATTAATGTTGAACAAAAGATCGACAACGTGAGACTCATTCTGAATACCTGGCGCGAGCGATTACCGTCTCAGCACGAATCGCTGACCACTTGGAATGATATTTTGACGTGGAGGAACCATGTGCACGCTGTAGTTGTCAATGTACTCGAGGCGTTGAAAGAAGCGGCGAGCGCGAAGGTTGCCGCCGCTCAAAATGCCCCTGGTAATGGTGGTGTTGGCAATCGAAACGCCAATTCACTGCATGCGCAAACGCCACAGGTGCAAGCTGCAGCAGCCATTGCCCAAGCGTTACCACAACAGGTGTTAGTGATGGGGGTAAACGAGACAGCCTGGAGCGTGCATAGGTTTGCAAAAGCCTGTAGAAAGCAAGGATTCCCAGATATGGCTTTGTACGCTTTGCAAAAACTGTATCCTTTTGGAACAATGGAGCTCACGGAATATTTTGTCAAGACAAAAGAAACCGCGAAGTCGTTCATGGCGCAACCGCTTGGCATAGACAACAGCACCAAGTATGGTCTACATGAGCTAAACAAATGCAATATGGACCATTTCAATTCTAGACAAAAAGCCCAGCTTTTCACAGTGCGAGGAAAACTTTGCGCCGCATTAGGCAAGGAAGCGGATGCTGTCGACGCATTCACGGTCGCGTTGTCGACTTCATCTGACGTAAGCTCAGCTTGGCTTGCTTGGGGTCTCCACTGTGATGCGCAGCTTCAACGCCTTTCTTCGCAACTCACTTCCGCTCCAAGAAGAGACGGGATTCAAGGCGCAAAAGCGTCAAATGATAACAAGAAGGAGACGGAAGCTGCCCTGGAATGGAGAGAGGCTGCCGTGAATTGCTATTTGCAGGCCGTTCGGTTTGGATCTCGCAAAAGCCGTCTGTATTTGCCAAGGGTCTTGCGCCTTTTGACTACAGACGTATACAATCGCGTTCACCTGCTGGGTCAAGCACGCACTGATACAGGTGAAATCGATTCGAACAGAGTTAGTAGTGTGCAGACAAAATCAAATGTTTCGCATACAGATAGGCCGGGTGCGCTAAACTCTACTCCTCCAAGTGCCCATAGCGTTGGGAAAGCAGCAAGTGTCCCACCAGCGCAGCCTAACAATTGGAATGCAGCAATGCAACCATCTCTTAGCGAAGGTGTTGCGCGAGTCATATCAGGTCTCCTCACGGAGATACCAGCATGGATGTGGATACCATGGATCCCTCAGCTCGTCCCCATGTTATGTCGGAGAGAGGCCAACGTGGTAAGACCGCTTCTTGTTCGAGTTGCACAGCAATACCCCCAGGCCGCTTTCTTCCCCGTGAGAGCTTTTATGGAAGATCGCAAGCCAATTGACAGACCTGACAAGATTCTTTCCAAAGATGCTCTCAAAATGGGAAGGCCAATCACCTCTGCTTTGCTTCCCAATGCATCTTCTGCACAAGCGAGCACTCCCCGTCAGATTCAAATACTGAAGGGACACGTCCAGAGAACTCACCAGCGATATCAAATGATTCAGAAAGCTCTGCAGCGGATTGAGTCAACGGTAAACGCTTCCCAAGGCACGAGTGAGCACGCAGCGAATGTAGCGAAGAGGAACCAGCTGAAAGAAGATTTAGGGCATACCCACCAGGTTCATGAAAAGTACGTGCAAGAGTATGCAGCTGCGCAGCAAAGGCAGCGCCAAGCTTTGGAGCGTCCAAGCTCTGGGTCTGCTGATACAGGAGCAGACACGCAAAAGACTAAGAAGCAAAACGAAAATCCGAGTTTAGGGCAACCTTCGAACACAAAACCGGATGTGGCAAATGCTCCTGGTGCAGCTGAAACCTCAAAGGAGAACCGAAGGGCCGATTGGCTACAAAAGAAACGTGAAGGTCGTGATGAAGGAGGTATCAACAAGATGGGCATGTCCCAGGATGACCGTGCCGGTGGTACGAATGCTTCAGTTCTGCGAACTCCGTTCGCTCATGCGGATTACGTGATGGCGCACGTCGTCAAGTCGCACCAATTGGTTTATCTGGAAGTAGAGCGGATCGCCCTTGAGCTTGCCTACAGGTTAAAGCCGCAGAAAGAGGAACATCTGTTGAGTCTGATGAATGCATTGCTACATCGCTGTTACCAAAATCCGGTTAAAATGGGCAAGGAGGTAGCCACTCCTTTCCGGTCGGCATTGGAAGAAGTGTCACGAATGTGCTTTCTCACGGGGAATCCGACGCCAGAGAAGCCAGGGGAACATGGTCTTCAGTCAGGAATTGCTGACCTGAAAGAGGCTTTCGAAGCGGAATTAGCGCCACAAACAGCGAAAGACTTTCCGTCAGAGATTGAGCCTTTCATTGCAAGACTGCGCCGCTGGCAAGGTATCTTTCAAAGACGTGTACGTTCAATGCCAGACTACTTGAATTTAGAGTCTGCTAGCAAACATTTGATTGAGATAAGCCACTCTGATGTGGAAGTGTTCGGCCAATATGTCGACATAGACATTGCCGAACCAAATATCAGCAGGCATGTGAAGATCGAGCGGTTTAGTGCAGATGTCAGAGTGGTACGCAGACACTCGGGTCCTTCACGCGGGATTCGAGTGATCGGGTCTGATGGAAAACTGTATGATTTCCTTCTTGAAGCAAGCATCAATGCAAGCATCCAGTCGACGGAGGATCGCACAGCACAGACGTTTAGACTTTTGAATACTGCGGTGTTTGCGAAAGACTCCGAGGCTCATCGGCGGCGCATTCAACTTACTGTTCCGACATTTGTGGTAATTGGAGCTCGATCTCGACTAGTGTCCGACGATCCAAGCCTGTCCTCACTTGCAGATGGTCTCGAACACTACTTGGAGTGTAACAAGAAAAGGATTGATGATCCGCTGATGGCCTTTCGAACGCTTGCATCGGAATCGTACAACCGACGGAGAGCTCACCCAGGGAAGGAGACGACTCGAGCAGAGTCTATCGCTGCTCGGGTGGATGCGTACCACGCCGTTTGTTATTCACATGTTCCGGCCAGCTGTTTCTCCGAATGGGTGCGATCTCGAATGCCAACTGCAACTAGTGATTTCAACTTTCGGAAACGTTTTTCGGAGACGCTTGGGGCGACGTCTCTTGTGTACTATTCTCTGGCTATCGGAGCAAGGAGACCGCAAAACATCTTATTTTCGTGGGCGTCAGGAACGATTCATAATGTTCACATGCGGGGGCTAATCTCTGGACGCGGGATTCTGGAAAGCGATGAAGCGGTTCCGTTTCGTTTGACGCGAAACCTACAGGGCGTAATGGGCCCCTTTGGATTGGAGGGACCATTCTACGGATCGATGATAGTAACGTTGGAGTCTATGGCTCAAAACTTTGGGGTTGTGCGCTTATTCCTCGACTTAATTATGCGGGACGAGCTAAGTGGGTGGTTGTCGAACAAGATGGATGCGGGGCGTGGAAGGAAGGATTTGGATGGTGGTGGTGGTGGGAGGGAGAGGAATGATTTCAAGGTGTTGGAAGACTGCCTGGCTGCTAGCATGCATGCTGTAGGCAAGCGGTTGAAGTGCAAGCAGCCTGCACAAATAGGGCACTCGCCCGCCGGTCAAAAGAATGTTGAAGAAATGGCTGAATATGTAGACAAACTGATTGGCACGGCAAGCAAACCGGAAAATCTAGCGCAAATGGAATCGAGCTGGCAAGCGTGGTACTAGGATGGGACCAAGCAAGGAAGAGGAAGCGGGTATGAGTTTTTGGAAGGGGTCGGGGGGAGGTGGTGTTGTTGACTTGTGTACAGAACGGGTAAGTGAGGATATGTATTAAATAGTTGAAGCTAGGGATAGCGGGGAATGTATGTGTCGGACAGGCTTATAAAGTTGACTTGATGTGTCTGAATTTATGTACGTACTGTATCGCGGTGGAGCACGGCACAAGTATTTGCAGGAAGATTCCGTACCCATAGCAGTGCAGAATTTGGCGGCGTAGGTCCACAAATAGGACAGGGGCTCGTGTTTTGTTGTACAACAACAAAGGTTGTACAACAACAAAGGGCGACGGAGAACGACACACAGGCACAAATGTCTTTCCAACATGGACATGGCCTTGTCAACAAACTGGTGATCCACAAGCCACGCGGCAACGCACGCTGTACTGTACACAACTCAAACCGCACAGCTGGCTGATCGCTCCGACAGTGACTCTTCCGTCACGGGCGCGGCGCTCCGCACCGCCCGTTGCAGCACGCGATGCGGGCCGGGCCGGGCCCAAACTGCTGCACGAGGGTGCGAGCTCACGGCAGCCAGAGGTGCGCAAGACCGCAAGGCGTGGCATGACGTAACAGAGGTCGCGAGGGCATCGCAAGCTTGCGCACAGGTGACGGTGCGCGCGGGCGGCAGCGCGGGCGGGCGGCTGCGGCCGCCGGCTCCGGCGTGGAGGTGGAAGATGTCGGGCGGGGGCAGGTGGGGGCAGGTCGAAGGTCGGTACGCTGAGGCCGGAAACCGTGATCAGTTAGGGGGCGGCGTTAAAAGCGCGATTTAAGGTTTAATGCAGGGGCGGCGAAAAGAGGAAACAGAGGGGTCTGTACGCGCCAGCATTTGCGGGGACATGTGGTGACGCTCGCCGGTGTGTAGTACGCGGGGGAAACATTGCGTGTGGGGACGCGGGGAGGTTCCTGTCGCCCCAAGCGCACCAATGAAGTGCCACCAACACACGGCGCTCTGTTTGGGGGCTTCTACTGTATGCCCACCAAGGCACAGTATTCGCCTTTAGCCTCAGTTGCTGGAGGCAACTAAGGCCAAGCCCTCGTCTGTTGGCTACAGTATACTAACTGTATCCCTGAATCACATTGTACTTTTTCGGTTTATTTTAGAAAGGTTACACCAGTCGAGCTGCGAGTGGCGTGGAGCCTTTTCAAGCGACGGCGGGTGGGGTAGGGTACTTTTTAATAGACCCCGCAGCCTGCCATCTACCGCGTTAAACCCGGCAACTAGTCGCTTCTTTGGACGAGATCTTCCCCATGCACTTGGGAGCTTACGATACCCCAGAATACGATACCCCAGAATTCTGTGGAAATCCTTTCAAATATATTCTACACGTGTACAAAACCTCTGTTCACGATATGGCTCATGGTGTGTTTGTTGCACATAACGCCGCAAGTGAGCATGGGAGTAGTACAGCCCACCCTCCCACCACCATGAGACAAAAGGAGTACACCCTCACCAAATGCAGAAGAAGAGCGTCGCTCTTTCGTGGCGCGCTTGCCGTAATTGGGAAGCGATATGTGGCACACAAGAACTCGTGATTCGCATTTGATTAACATTCTGCTTTCGCATCAAAGAACGCTTTCATGGGTGTCGCGTCTCATGATGCTGCAGCACAAAAGCAGGTAAACTTTTTGTCGGACAAGTCTGCGTATCGCTGCCACCGACTTTTGGTTTAACTTCAATCGTTTTGGAGATCGTGAAGGTTTGCAAACATTTCGCGTTTGCGTTGAGGATATCAAAAACTTGTACCAATTCTAGGGTGGCCTTCATCTAAAAGCCGCACAACCCGTAACAGATATAGTGCCGATCCAATAATTGTGACCTGCATAATTCTAAGACGCATGGCAGTGCTAAACTGTTGGGAATATTTGGCATATCTATTTGGAAAGCATCCTTCCCAGATGTTTGAAATATTTCGGGAAGGGATGCAACTCTTTGTGCAAGGACAGGGACATTTGTTGATGGGACTTATTCCAAAACAGTACATAGCGAAGCGAGCAGTAGAGTACAGCCGAGTCATTAGCGATAAAGGAACAGAAATTCAGAACTGCATAGGCTTTGTGGACAGTACAGTAGTTGGTATGGCTCGACCAAAGGGGGAAATGCAGCAGCTCGTAGTATACAATGGGCACGAAAGAAAGCATGCGTGTAGCATAATCAGGAAGGTGATTATTTACTGCTGGGTGCGGCTCCTGTACAGTGCGCGAAACGCAAATAAATACACCCATCGTCGAGTGGAGTTTTGAGTTATACAGGTCGAGAACATAAAAACCCCTACTCTCTGACATTGTAAACGAAACGAAACGACCTATTCCGGACTCAGATTGGTTAAGTAATAAACGCGGCGACCAGCATCTTTAAAAACGTTTGCGAAACGTAAATAAATACGCGAAACGCTATAGAGTACAGTAGCAAAAAGTGCGGGCAACTGGCATGTAGTCTTGAATTCACACCAGTAAGAGTCACGGTCCTGCAGCGCTGATCCGGTACAATCTTTAGATATCATCGTCGAGCAAAAGGCGGCATTCAATATGCCAAGGGGCCCCCCACTCACCGACAAGGAAAGAGGACAAATCCTTGCCTTGCACCATCAACTCGTGTCACTACGCGACATATCTAAAGAACTGGGAAGGTCCGTAGGCGCTATACAACGGGTTTTAAAGATCCCAGGTCGCGTCTCACGTGCCCGAGCTCATGTAACCGGTCAAAAACTTTCCGTCCGTCAAGAGAAGGCAATGATCCGCAAGGCCTCTACTGGATATTATTCGGCTCGAGACCTCAAGAAGGACCTCAATTTGCCAGTTGGAATCCGACGAATCCAGCAGATTTGAAGCGGAACGCCTCATCTGAAGTATAAAAAGATGAAGACCGCACCCATGATGACTTCTCTACACCGTGAAAAGAGAGTCAATTGGGCCCGTCGATTCATAGGCAAGGGAGAGTATTTCTGGAACAAGGTAATTTTTAGCGACGAAAAAAGTTTAACCTCGATGTCCCAGACGACAATGCCAGCTATTGGCATGATTGGCGCAAGGATGAACGCATTTTTTCGAAAAGACAGAATGGAAGAGCTTCTGTCATGGTTTGGGGAGCTATCTCTCCGTACGGTGTCACCGGAGACACCGTACGGAGAGATAGCTCCCCATCTTAAGACGAGAGGGGCCCCTCTCGTCTTTCTAAATGTCAATCAAGAATCTCGCAAGTACTGTGAAACCTTGGATATGGCTCTACTTCCATATGCTGCAGAGACGTACGGGGAAATGCAGAACTGGGTATACCAGCAGGATGGTGCTTCTATTCATAGGTCTTGATTTACTCGTTCATGGCTCACTCAGAAGGTGTTAGGACTATCGACTGGCCCGCAAAGTCCCCTGATCTCAACATTATTGCGAACATATGGGGCATCATGGCTCGCCAAGTCTATCTTCGTCAGCGACAGTTTGATACTGTAGAGCAGCTTAAGGCTGCAATTGAGGAAGTTTGGGCGCCAATCAGTGGCGAATTACTACAGAAGCTCTATCGGAGCATACCACGGCGTATGCATGCAGTGCTGGATGGGCACGGGCGGGCGACAAAATACTAGAATAAGCACCTTTTCCTACTGTCCTCAATAGCGTTTCGCGTATTTATTTGCGTTTCGCAAACGTTTTTAAAGATGCTGGTCGCCGCGTTTATTACTTAACCAATCTGAGTCCGGAATCGGTCGTTTCGTTTCGTTTACAATGTCAGAGAGTAGGGGTTCTTATGTTCTCGACCTGTATAACTCAAAACTCCACTCGACGATGGGTGTATTTATTTGCGTTTCGCGGACTGTACATGACACGTTTCACAGCGCGTGCGCGCGCAGCTGTAAGTACGCGCTTACTGCTCGCTGTGCACGTGTACAGCGTGACGATCCGGAGTAAGGCGCGAGAGCTTACCGTGTAAGCTACTACATAGATACTGTGGTACGTTATGATAGATTATTTACTTGTATATTAAATTACAGAGCGACCGGCGGCGGAGGGAGGAGAAGGACAAGCACGGGCTTGGTACCAGATCCTCCGCCGCAGGTCTAACCCTGTCCGCATATTATAAACGCGTTCACTTAACGCGAGCGCGTTAACCAAGAACTAACGCGGGTAGCTGTCGCGACACGTGCGCGAGCGAGCCGGATCCGCCTCCGCCCGTCGGCGCTAGAACACTAAATAGCGCCGCCCCGGGGCGTCGAGCGCGTCGATCCGCTCTAACCCGTACGCGTCCGCGTCCGCTCCCCACCGCTCTATCACGCTACCACCGCCGGTGTTCGTTCTGGTGTTTGTGTGTTTTTCTCTTTCTCGCGTTAACACAGGCCTTACGCGAACCTAGCTAAACCCCCACTGCGACCGGGGGTTTATGCTACAAAGCGTTAAAATATCGGGCTTTGAATACACCTTATGCCGTGATACAGCACGCGTATGGACCTGCAGAAGGTCGTAGACATGATTGGTTTCTTTACGCAGCAAGTGGATCGGAGACCAACTTGTAAGAGGTTATGCTGGTGAGTAGCACACAGTACAGGATTTGCGGAGATTCAGAATAACATTGGAGTGTCTTCACGGAGATTCCTTTCCAGAGCAGTGCGCTTAACAACTACCAAACAGCTTTTAACACCTCGATGTCAGCACTACGCATCACGGTAGAATGTATTTTGAAAGAAGTCAAAATGTATTTTCCGATCATTGACACAAAACGGAAAATGAGACTTTGTGAATCACCGCTCGGCTGGCTGTATCTCGGAACTAATAGTTCATAGTATAGTATAGTATGCTGATGTGCAGTCTCGTACATGGTATATACCCAAACCAGATATCCGACTACTTTAGGATCCGTCCGTGCACGCTGAAAGAATACATTCAGGAAAGGGGTGGTCTTCTCGACGAGTGAAGAAAATTCTTTTTCCGCAATTTGTAGGCAGGCGCGAAGCATGCCCTCTTGCACGGACTGCCCTGCTTTGACTACATCAGAGATTTAGTAGAAGAGACTACAAGACGTTCAGATACTCACCCTCAGCCCAATTTCTGCTTCAACATGTCAAAAATGATCTTAAACTTCTCCAGCTGAAGCTTCTGCCATCCTCCCGCTCTTTTCGACGTTATTCACGATGTTTTTAGCGCTCTTCG